TTTCTTGAATTTTTCCTGTGCCTTTCCTTTTGTATTTCTCTAAATTTCTTCATTTGTTATCTTACTTGGACATGGGTTTCTTTGGTTGTTTCTTTTTCTTTTGTTCTTTTTTGCATCACCATTCTTGACTTGGGTACTGGATGTAGGATTTTTCGTGTCATTGATCTTGGATTTCATGGTTAAGCAACTATTGAAATTAGTAGAGAGGAGGTACCATTGTGCAAGATTACGGGAACAAATTTGATTTGGAATTGAAATGTGTAGAGGAACGAGGAGAGCAAATTTGCTATGAAAATTTTTGTGAAAATTTAATTTTGTAGAGGAATGGAAATAACAAAAATTTGTGTTGAAAATGGTTAAATTTTTATATAAAATTTATATTTAAAAAGTCAAAAAAATTACATTAAAACTATTCAATTTAATTAAAGGGAATAAATAATTAAATATTACATATTAAATGGGTATAGTAAAATTATTATGGTAGTTTAATACTTTTTTTTGCCCATATTATTATTTTTTTCAACATTGCATTTCCAAGGCATTTTATGGGAGAAAATATAATTTTTTTAGTTCACATCATCAATTTTTTCTTACATGGTATTTCCATGTCTCTTTTATGAAAAAAAAAATCAATTTGTTCTCTTAATTAACAAGCCATCTCAGCAAAAAGATAATGAAGGAGTTAAAAAATAATTAAAAAGTAAATTTTAGGATTAAAAAAGAATTTTCTTAAGCCTAAGGACAAAATTTTTTTTTGAAAATATAGGAACTACAAATGAGGTTTTAACCTTTTAGAAAGAAAAGAAAGGGGGGACACGTGGACATTGAACCCTCAACGTCCAAGTCCAACTTGAAATGTTCTGCCACTTGGTGGACTGACGACGAGAATAACCCAAAAATCTATTTATAATTTAAATTATACAAAGACGTAAAAATGACACCAAGACAGAAAATCTCTTTCTTTCAACCTGTCGATTATAGTTGTATGTTTTTATCACCTGCAGTAATTATTATGTATTTTGTATGCAAAAATTTATTTATTATAAATTATTTAACAAAATTTCTTTATGACATTATCTGATTAAATTGATGATTTAAATAATTAAATTAATTTTTTGAATAGTTTATAATTTTTGAGGGATTGATGAAGAAAAATTTTTTAAATATCGATAAAATTTAAAATTTTAATCAAT